ACACAAATGCAACTGCCACCAAACCCGTAGAGGTCTTATTGAACAAATGAACAAACCTGAAGGGCTCACGTCGCTGTCTGATTCCTTTGTGTCCGTTTAAACTGATACTGATGTTCAATAAGGGAACTGTTAAAAACGTCTCGCACATGGCACACCATGTGTTTTTCCTCCGGACACCAGAATCCAAGGGGATAACCACATGTCTCACGATATGAATGAATAAATTTAGTCTCAAGACTGGTATTCGTGAGAAAAATAAGGTGGTTTTTGTAGCTTTTTGCTCACCGTGACAAACAAAGCCTATTCAAACTTTTCCATCGTTCCATTGTAGTTTCCAAGGGATTTATAAAACGGTCCTGGGGACCTATAAGGATATGTGGAAACAAGCGGACACGCACGGCCTTCCAAACAGTCGGTCGGCAGTGATAAAAAGGTTTTGTGCTCCACAGTTTGAAGACCCCTAGACTGCTGACGACGATCCAACCGTCCTGGTTTTATTGCCTTCCAAATTCAACGAAATGTTCCAAATGAGTCCGTAGGTTTTATATGATGACGTCTACCAAACCAGATCATGTTTTTGGTCTAAGCATGACACACTACTCATAAGGTTTGTGAAAACTCTTCTACAGCTCACGACGGGTTTCACCTGTTTCTTGGTGTTCACCAGGTAGGCAAAGTCCTTACGCTCCCACCAACCACATGTTCTGCTTGAAAGCAAACTGGACTCAAACAGGACCTCAGGGGGGGGGAGATGGCCCAAACGGTTAGAGCACGAATTTATTGACCGGAAGGTCTGTGGTTCGAATCCGACCTCTGCCTCTCGACTTTGCCTGTATAGGCTTGGGCAACCTGGCAGTATCCCAGCCCTTGTGCTTCCTCCGGGTGGCATGGCAGCTAGGCACCGAAAGGGTGTTACAGCTAAACGATTTTTTTTCAGATTCACATACCAATTCGGTCTACACTGCCATCTATCTAACAAGATCAGAACCGAGTTTGTCCCGGAACTCCTAAATGCAGGTATTTGTTCAAAATTCCAAACAATTTTCTGTCAAGAATGCAAGTTTTTGCCAGCAAGAAAAAAACTTCCGAGAAAGATGAACGATGGGTCACTGACACCACAATTGTCGGCAAAACCGCTCCCCATGTGACAGACAAACTCCCGTCAGGAAGTGAATTTCAATCTCTCATGCTGTTTGCATCCGAAATCCATAACGCTTCCATGTTTCCATGACGTCTTGGGGGTTGTGCTACATAAATCATGTGTTTTGCAGATGTTTGTTTTGTTGCTATGGTGTCATCAATCAGAAGCTTTTGCTATTCGTCCTCTTGAACGTAAGTTTTATTCTTATACGATATCTATTGAAAACAGGATCACTATCATTCCCCGCAACAAAGAATAGACCTGAAAATGAGTGGAACGACGTCCGTTGGATGACAAAAGAAGGTTATCCACTAGAACGCACTATTTGCGATACTCGTATCGTATAAATTTATCCGTACACTATATATATATACTGTATTATACATATATATATACGCAAAAATGCTTATACTATTAAATACACCCGGAAATACCTCTGGCTTTATGTTGCTTGTTAACAACCTGATGGTGTGATTACTTGTCATCCACAGGTGTACAACCGGAAGCAAACGGTGAAGATGGGTTGCTGAAATTTGTCTTGGTTGGTACCTACCTACGTTTGAAATGTCTTACGATAGAGCATGGCCCTGTTAGCTGTCCAACCAGAAGGTACCTGCTCCAATCAACCAGCCGGGCGCATGAAAATTACTCCATTGTTTAAGGTATGGTGCATTTTTTCGTGTCACAAAACTGTACTCTTGAGTCCCACCCCTTCAAGCACAAGGCGTAGTAGCGCACTTACTTTGTGCCTCCCATTTCTGGTAACGTCACGTAAATCTACATTATCCTACGGGCACTGTCCACACTACCGGTAACTTTGTAAGTAGTAATTTGGCGGTCAGGAAGCCCATCATCATCATCAACATCAACGACAGCATGACATCAGTGCTCAACACCAATGCTTCACTGCCGTACAGCCATGACTTATTTGAAAGCCTTATTGTAAAGAAAAGAATAAAGGTGGATGGGGGAGGGACTTAGTGCTAGCTTAACACAATCATTCCGAGGTGCCTACACCTCCAGACATTCATTCAGGCAATCTGGACAGAAACTGACAACAAGAACGCCACTGACATCGGTTGGCAGCCATATCTTGTAGTGAGGAAGCCCATACTGTTTGTTGTCAGAAATCTGTTCATTATTGAGCACAGACACAGTGGGTCCGGAGTTGTGAGGTTCACTAGTTGCGCTCTTAGGCTTTCCTTACTAGCTTTTAGATCACAGAATGTCCTTATTACCTGCCCACTATCCATACCTAATAATATAGCGGTGTAACGCTTGTATCATTCTTTAGAAAGATTCCGAATCGATTTCCCCACTTCATGCGCACCAACATTCTGTTGTTTTGTGCCCCAGAACATCATCCGTTGTGGAAGGTCAATTTTCAGTTTTTTCCACTGCAGCCTTCCGAAGATAATTAGATGAGGTTAACTGCGTAGCACCATCGATTTGGAGAAGCTAGTCTGACAAAACTGTCATGAATTTTTCACGAGGTCTCTGGACAGATATGTACAAACGGATCTGTGGGGCTTACAAATGAGAGGAGATTAACAACGAACGAGATAGGTGATACGTCCCTTACGAAGGCAGTGTATGGGCACTCCAATGAACGGGTAGAGGTGAAAGGAAGAAGGTGTCATCAGTCATCATCAACATCATCGACAGCATGACATCAGTGTTCAGCACCGATGCCCCACTGCTGTACAACCATGGTTTATTTGAAAGCCTCATTGTAGAGAAAAGAGTAAAGGTGAACGAGGGAGGGACTCACTGCTGGCTTAACACAATTATTCCGATGTGCCTACACCTCCAGACGCCCACTCAGGCAATCTGGATAGAAAATGACAACAAGAACGTCACTGATATCGATTGGCAGCCATATCTTGTAGTGCCTCCAACCAGACACAGTGAGGATCACGAGGTCCCCATTCTGGAAGAAGAGTAGCACCGACAGCACCCAAGCGTTTCGTGATCTCCTTCATAATCCTCTGCCAATTCAAGGGTTGGCCACCTCTCTGTTTACGCCACCCTGGATTGGGTATTAACAACAGCACTCTCTTCGGCAAACGATGGTTTGGCATACGTAGGTTATGCCCAACCAACGCACCTTCTGATGCTGGACACATTCTTCAATGGAAGTACCCATTACACAACCGAAAACACGTTTTCTAACTGCCTCGTTACGGATTCACCGACAACAACCCACACGAGATATGGTTCCGAGACAAGGATTGTCGAACACCTGAAGACGTCTCAGTTCAGCTGCTCGAATAGGCTAAGTTTCACAGCCATACAACAAAACAGTCCGTACTGTAGCTTGATACACACGTCCCTTCAAATTCAGGGATAAAGCATTCTGACACCATAGGTATCTCAGCCTCATCAGTAGTATCCACCGTTACACGGGTACACGACAAGCTTTGGCCCGAGTTCACCACGTCCAAACAAGGCTGTCCTCTCTGGCTCTTCCTCTTCAGATTTGCTACTAATATGCTGTTTGAAATTTCTCTGCATGCTTCTGAAGCCTAAAGGGCCTTCAGGACGTTATTTCGCAGATATTGAATATGCGGTCGATATTGTTCTCCCCGGTTCAGATCCTTTAGAAATGTATACCATTTTGAATAACCTAAATAATTTGCCGCACGATTTGGCATGCGCTTCACACGTGCAACATGTAAAGGACTACTTTAGACCGGGTGGCATTACAACTAAACCTCGTTCTTACAGAAGAGTCAGTCGACGTGGTAGATAAATTTGTTTACCTTGGAAGTTGTAAACGTTCCGGTGGGTTGCCTAAAGATGCCAGGGAAGGTTTTGCCAACCTCCGGCACCTATGGCACCGAACTGACGTCAGTTGGTCTGGTAAGGGTAGATTTTACACTGCGGCAGTGCCATCAGAAACGTGTCCTCGAAGCCCAGAGGCTCTGAGAAGCATTAATCTGGTATAGCGGGAACACCGGATCAGCAATGCTAAGTTAGTGCAAATATTTTTGGGAAGAGGAAATCCTCTTGCGATGAATAAATTACTCTGAGTACACTCTAATTAAACAAACTAGTTGGCACTATTACACTAGATAATTAAATAACTGATTACAGCGACTAATGAATTTATCAGCCGGTAAACTAGGTTGAGTCAACAACTGCTGTCCCACTAGATCAGAATCCGGGGACTCGCCAATGCTCCTTCACACTAACAGAAACGCCCTAAAAGCGCAGTCACTGGCACCGTGCTTCAAAGCCATTCCCATCAGTGCGTAGCTAAGCTTTCCATCCCCTCCAATGCTTGTTTGTATTTGTCATACTTTGCCACTAAACGGTGCTTGTAAGTGTAGGACCTCGAGGCAACTTACCCTCGAGGCATGGTTTACAGCTGATAAGGCGATCTGAATTGTTCCTTTTTAGAAGTGGGGGAATTGGTACTCGTACCTACAAAGTTAGTGAAGCGGCTATAGGTGTCGGCTAGTAAGAGGATACTGCCAACTGGATGCAGTAGGGCAAAGAACATCATCATCATCATCAACGACAGCATGACATCAGTGCACAACACCAATGCTTCACTGCCGTACAGCCATGACTTATTTGAAAGCCTTATTGTAAAGAAAAGAATAAAGGTGGATGGGGGAGGGACTTAGTGCTAGCTTAACACAATCATTCCGAGGTGCCTACACCTCCAGACATTCATTCAGGCAATCTGGACAGAAACTGACAACAAGAACGTTACTGACATCGGTTGGCAGCCATATCTTGTAGTGTCTCCAACCAGGCACAGTGAGGATCACGCGGTCCCCATCCTGGAAGGCGAGTAGCACCGACAGCACCCAAGCGTTTCGTGATCTCCTTCATACTCCTCTGCCAGGTCATGGGTTGGCCACCTCTCTGTTTACGCCACTCCGAATTGGGTATGGAAAATAGTACTCTTTTCGGTAAACGATGATTCGGCATGCGTAAAACATGTCAACAGTCATAAACACGCTCCACCGATAAGTGGAGCATGTGACGTTTGTTCAAGGAGGAATAAACCAATCCGATTTCTGGTGAGCACAACACAAGAATCTAATGGATAGATGAACGCTGAAATTCATTGAAAAAAATCGCTTTGTGTGGTAACACTAGCAAACCGCAGTTGTGTGAGTATGTATGTGTACACCCATCAGAGGATTTTTGATTTTGTAACCAATAAGAGAAGGCAAACTTAGTTTTATATCCCACGCCAGGCCGATTATTGTGAATCTGACATTCGACATCCAGACATATCACATTTGGGTGGCGGTTGTTTTTCTTTTCGTGTACTTTGTAACCAATTTTGATGACTCCAGAAACCGAATGAGGAGGCTAAAAAAACCACGTTTTTAACGCTCACTTGAGTGCAAAGCAATCATAAGAACGTCATTGGTGTCTAAATTTTGTCGCCGGTAAGAGGGAACCAAATGTAAACGCACGCCAAAGACATACTCAATTATCTGAATTATTTTCCCCGGAAAATAGTAGTTGCTTCAGTGAATCGATCTCCTAAAATATACATTTTAAACTACAATCCCAGATATAGTCAATTATTTTAAGGTTTTCACTTTTCACATTTAATTGCGTTGCTACTCTTGACACTGTGGGGCTTTTCTTTCCCCCATAATTACAGCTTTCTTCTAACATCTCGGAAACATTTCCTCAACTCCTATTTCAGTACGCATCACCAACTTCGCCAGAAGATTTCTCCTGTCTTTTGACGAATCTTAAACAAATTGCGATTTTCTGTGATACACACCATATGTTGCCTGATTCTCTCTGCGCAAGGAATAAACAAAAGTGCTGGAAAATAAAAAGTTTGTTTTGCATCCTGGATACCGCGAATGTGAAAAAAGGGAGAGCATTTTTTCTTTTAATGGATACATCGTCTCCTAAATCTTCAGGCTCATATTCGAATTTCGTGCGAAAGGTGACCAATGTTAGCAGTTTGCCTAAGGAGGGACATTTGACGTGAAGTCAGACGGATATCTCTCAACGGAAAAAGGATGACAAACTGTACAAAATCACCCACTTCCCTTGTTCCAGACTAACAGAAAGAATGCGTTTGACCACTGTGTAGCCCTACATCGTCATCATCACCATCGTCATCATCATCATCATCATCGTCATCATCATCATCTTCAGTCAACATTGTCTGGAATCCTGGTTACTCTAAGCATTGATGGGCGAGCGTTTTTGCTAACTCATACTCCAGTCAAAACGTATAAAGTACGAATTAAGATGGAATGGACTATCACTTCCCATGCACTGATCAGTCCAAAAGTCAGCGACATTAGGCCTACTCGGTGGGCGTCACGTGATTTGGTTAGATTGACACACAGAATGTCTGTTCAATATATAGAAACTGAACGCTCATCCCCAGAGACTGTTACCTAGCAGCATAAAGGTTCCTCCAGCATAAAGGTAAGACTGTAGGTTCCCCGCCCCACTCAACCCCGCGCTGACAATGTCAGGTCGATTGGTGATGAAACGTTCGCAATCCAACCTCCAAGCTCGGCGAACAGAACAACAACCAAGTTAATGGATAGATATTTTACGCGCAATAATTAACTTCTGCATATTCCGCTTTTCTGTCCGACAAGATCACATTTTGTCGCGCAGTGTTCCTCGAAAACACAAGAATTACGGTCAGCAGAAAAAGTGCCCGCTCGTAACACAATGATAATTAACAGGCGTTGCGAAGAAACGAAAAAAAATCGTGTGTTGGACGAACGTTGCAAGGTTTGTTGTAATAAAAATGTCAGTTCAACGTCGCTTAACAGAGAATTGTCTTCTATGGAGGTAAACGTTGGTAGCTCAGGTAGCGTAGATGGTCGTTGGGTTGTTCGCTGAGCTGGGCAATTTGATTGCAAACGTTTCATCACCAATCGAGGTGACATCATCAGTGCGTTATTGGAGAGCGTAGTGATGGGTAGCGGTGGCTTAGTGGTTGTGCTCCCGCCCGCTCGAATTAATTTAATCGGTACGAGAGTATCCGAGTGATCTCCACTAAGGAAGCGAAGCATCAGTGTTCAACATTGATATCATACTGTCAAGGTTGATAACTACTAGCGACCAGCAGACAAATACAAAAAATTCTGTCCAGTCTTTTAAACAAAAAACCACAATCAGGAATAACTTTCCCATACAATGACCGCCTCTGTATCCACGGCGTAGGATGGATTTTCTACCTAGAAATTCTCTGCAACATTTTTGACAGAATGCTTCTCAGCAAGAAGTGATTAACAAATTTTCAAAAATGCGCTTTAATGAAAATCCAAATTAATGCACATCACATCAACTCTTACGGAGGAGCTGCAAAACCCTGTACGCGTCTGACGGGACGTCCGCATCATGAGCATACTGGAAAGCAACACACCCATACGTGGCGTGTCAGTTGGTCGAAACATGACCATCCCACTGAACTCATTGTTCATGATGATGATCCTTTGTTGACTGGCTTCGAAAGGTATCTTCTTCTTTGGGGGTATCAGTCATATGTCATAAGTAAAGACGAACTCAGCTTTGTCCCCAGAGAATCGAACTCATATTATATATATATATATATATATATATAAAGCAACAATGGGTTCTCATGCTATTGGCAATAATAGATGAGGAGACCTAGATCCTGCTGTGTTAGACGTGTGAGGACAATAATCTGCTTACTGCAGATTACCGGCACGTCTACACTTCCCCAGGGAAACAGGTTAGAAAACCTCAGTCTGAAAAGCTACGCGCTCTGATCATCCAGCAGTCAATGTGATCGCGGGTGCCGTTGGTTTGATTTTCAGCGGCCAAATTTAGTTTAAAAAATGCTTAGTGAAATACTGGGTTTGTATGGCCTCCCGAACCCATATACGATGAATTCTTACTCGGTTCCTAGCTTTTTCCAGGATACACAGGACAGACCTAACCATGTTATTGACTTGTTAGGGATCGACCAAGTTGCACCAAAGAATATATCCTAGTCATCGTGATGCTTGATGACGAGTGTGACTCAGATGATATCGTGCAGTGAGTGAACTGTACCAACACAATAGAACGCACGAAACTTTTGAGAAAATTAGCTTAATGTCCCAGAAATCATGGTAAAAAGAGAATAGCATGCTTGAACACTACTTTGTTTCGCTAACTCGGTCGCTGCTTAGCAATTAGCCTGCATATCTATGCCTCCAAATTTGTCACACCCGGGATAATGCCACAAAAGTTGAGCACATAATGATCCCTAAATGAAATACACGCCATGGAAACCACTTAAATGAGTTTGATAGCTTAAGTTTACTTTTTGTAATAACAGATTCGCATGTAGTCGGGGAACGGGCCATAACAACGGAAGTCTCCTCTGTGAGAGACCTGTTACCTATTTTCTCAATGATTGTACAGACCATTTAAGGATATTTCTATGCGTGCTCAAAGTAACGAGACTATGACGAAACACAACACTTACCAAGTGTTTGTTGACCGTGTTGAACTGAGAAATCCTCGATCTGATTAGATATCAAATTCGCTAGATCGCAAAGTTATGTGAAATGGCTGCCGGCCGGAAGCCTGATGGTTAGTGCTGTGTGGCATTCAATCAACGGATCCTTGATTTTATAATCCAAAGCGCATGTTCAATGTAAACAGCCAGAACTATCCTAGGACACAGCGTTGTCACAGGTACGGTTCATTCGTCAGAAGTCACGAGTATTAGTTTGATGGACGTACAAGGCATGAGAATGCAACTGCCAAATTAACAAACTATTTTACGGCGACAAACCAATCAGTTAAAAGATGTGAGATCACTTGCGTCCAGTGAACCAATCAAAGCACAGCATCTTTATTTTAGGTCACGATTCAAACCAATCACCAAAGCTGAACACAATACATATGATGGCACCTGAACGGCCGAAATCTCTACTGAGTTTGTTGCATCTTTCGACTGGTTAGATTTGATTGTCTTAAACCACTGAAATGAGCATGTGTAACCATGCTTCTCGTAACGCTTCTCTTCCAATGATAGATCTTAATTACTTCCTTACGCTCGCTGTACGACCAATAGAGACGCCCTTGACAAATCAATTTGCCACGATCGATTACGCTTCCCAGTAGTTCGCAGGCACCGAATGTTCACGTGCTGATGCCACGTGACCCAATCAGGATCGCAACAGCTACAGCCTCGCGTGAAGCTGGCAGCCACGGATCCATTGGGCAACAATATTTTAGCAAGCAAAACGATGATAAATCATCCAGCCCTGGGTGGACGTACGGTACTAAACACAAGAACACTGTTGCCGCCTACTGTAATGCATATTCGGCCACTTTCACGCAAACAAATTCAGCCTGGCCACATCATGCAAACAGAGTCGAAACGTAGAGAAGAGAGGCTGTGTATCAAATACGGAATGTGCCCTCACGTCCTATATATAAAGTAGACTGAGTGTCTTCCGACAACGTTGTATCTAATTGTGTCAGAACCAACGACAGGTTTGAATTTTGGGCATCCAAAATCTAGTTTACTCTATGAAAATTTATTAACCTACACCCAAGAGATACCAAAGCACAGTGCTGTCCTGCGTCGAATCACCTCGTGATCCAACTTCTGCATCAACAACCCATAGGATAAACATGAACAGTTTTATCGAGTGGTACCGTGCGCATTCATTTTCAGGTCAAGTATAGTCTTATTAAAAATAGTTCACTAGTGTGGCGATCAGCTGTGGTTTTCATATGAGGCATTTTGAGTACCACCCATTTCTCAATTCTGGGTCGGTTCCATAGCATGTTTCAGCTGGGCTGTCGCCCCCTGGTGATCAAGTCAACCAGAAAGTCCTTCCATGAAAGACGTGTATGGTCCTCTTAAATTGTCCTCTGGGTCTCCAATTTGGTAGTTCCCACGCGGAACATCGTGTCGTGTTGAAAACATTCTTGGTTCTGTTTAACACATACCATTTAATGAAAGGCAAAACAATGGTACCTCATGGACTGCTAGAGTCTCTCTTAGTTCAGCCAATTTTTCCCACGTTCGAAAGATGTTTCATGTGTTAAGTTATCCCCCGTCAGCATTGAGTAGCCATTCAGAGCTGTGGGATGTCAACAACCTTTGGATCCTGGTAAAATTGACAAAACTATGAAAACACGGTCTACTTGGTGGATTAAATAACTCTCCACCCAACATGTTCGCTAAGAAAATTTACTCAGTAAAGATATCAATGGAATTTTCAGGACATCGTCCTCCAGAATGATCTACCCCCATGACACACGCAAATAATGGGTCTAGTCTAAAGAACTTTTTCCTAGAATGTCACTGGCGCGAGCTTCTCGACTCTGTATACCCGGAGAGAATGAATTTTCAGTCGTGGGTATGAACAGCTAACCACTGTCGGAGAAATATTTTACGATGCTGTTGATGATGATGACGTAGGACGATAAAATAACCGTCTGCATACTTAAAAAAATTCTTAAATCGTTCAACCAATAACAGTTATGGCACGCAACTACAACAGAACTCGTCGCATTATTTTCAGCGTCTGTAAAACCATTTATCTGCAAGATCAGAGTTCAGATCAACGCACAAACGGTTGATTCGACCGCCAGATTTTTCCCTAATGACACTTTGTTTCACCATGCTGCATCGAATTAACATCGTTCACTCGGGTTTAAAAAAAAACAGAATAACGATTTATTTTTCGTTCTCACGCAAATGGCGTGCCGTGGAATGGAAGCAATTTCAACACTTAATGAACGCGTGCAGATATTGCTCGTAATGTTTGTGATAAGGCATAAAATAGTTGAACGCAAGAAAGAACCTCAAAAAGTTGTATCTAGCCGGGAAAAAAAGTGGAAAAGTTCAAATCCAAGTGAATCCAGTCCCGCATGGGGCACTTCACAAAGTGAAACATCATTTCATCAAGACGGTATTGCTATTTCTGAAACTTATTGTTTATGATAGCACGCCCATTGACCTCCGGTGTATGTGTTCTTTTCACATTGTTTCTCATTTTAAAAAATCGTGCAGTATTTCTGCAGTGAAATAGAATGTTATCCGAATAAATGAAATTTGTGAGTTCGTTGGAATATCTATTGGAAACCTTATGGGGTAACCACAGATGGTTTCGCCATGACAAAACAATCTTTTATGATGCTTGGCCGTTAACTTTCATAGGATGAAAGTGCGAGAGCTTTTTATCCACTTCGCTCGTACTTTTAGTCTTTTCAGTTCTTCTACTCTTCCCAATGGTTTGAATCCTTGCCCCATTTTTTTCTCACGGACATTCGGAGAAGAAGTAGTCTCCTAATTTCGGGTCACCAAACAGATTCCCAAGAGCTCACTGGCCTTGTATTGAGCAGGTATTTCGATGAGGTTCACAAGCCAGTCCAGGGAATTCTCTCCGGTATACACCTTGGTGTTAACCACTCAAGTGTTACAACCAAGCCAACTTCACGCATTCGTTCCATGTCAAGATTTTCCCCCCCACCCCCCCCCCCCC